GTCGGTGAATAATTTATTTATTTTTTCCTTTCCCTCTCTCAAATCACTTTTATTGTTGTTGAACGTCTCCACGCACACATCGCGAGCGCGCTACTGTGAAAAATCCGAATCGCGCTAAGGACCAATAAGATTCCAGGTTTCGTTACCTTGCCCTTTGGGAAAAAAAGAAACAAAACAAACGTATTCACAGCAGTATTTGTACCGTTTAATCTTTAGTTACCTCTCCCTACCTTTCATCAACTGACACTCGTTTTCATGTTAGTTCAAGTTTTCTTCTTGAAACTTTTATGAGCACAGTTAATCAAATATTAAAAACACCTCTAACTTTACCATGACGTCCCTGCGTGCCGCATAAAAACACAAAACGTCTTTTTGGTTAAAGTCGCTCTGAAACATTTAAGATTTAATTTAGCGGTCGATAGCACTAAAGGGAGAAATCGCAATGAAACGAGATATTTTTCTTTTGTGTAGGGGCTGAAAGGTATGTAGAACGGTTCAAAGTGCTCTATCAGTTGCGGAGCAGCGCAAAAACTCTCAAGAGAAAAACAGAGAACTAAAAATCATGAAAATAGAAAACTGTTATTTTTCACTTAGAGTGTTGACAGAGATCCGATTCTGGGAACTCCAACTCTTATAACTTATCACTAGTATTCAAACAGAAATATGGACATAAAATTCCTGTTAAAATATATTTTTTGTGTGAACAATTATTGTTTTCACAATCAATCAGAAAATGGATTTTGACCTAGCTTGTCCCTTGAGTCCGGCGGGGATTTGCGGAGAACTAGTATGAACTTTGCTCATTTGGCTAGCCTTCAACCTATAGAACTCATACGCGTGGTCCAACCCACCGTTCCGAAAGCACTCGACATCTTTAAATTCAAGTGACAGGAGCTTATAGGCATGGTTCGTTCCAAAGTTTATTTCTTCGTTCATTGTGTTGTTCGCGAAGAGCGAGTTCCGTCACAATTCTCATTCTCAGTCTCCACGCTCTCCGTTAGGAACGCCTGTCTCTACAAGCCTCCATTTGTCGCCCAGGAATAACAGCCTACTTTAATTTTCTGACTAGGGCTTCTTTACGGAAGCTCAGGTAAAAGACAAATGTCAGAGGCGGGGGAATAAGCGGGCTTGGAAGTGACGGAACCATATTAAATATTGTAGTATTGAGAAAGGCGTTCTCTTTATGCTGAGGATAATTTCGTCGTACACAACAGCATGATACTCTATCCCCATAACGGGCTGTAGTGTTGCTTTGTAAATCATAGGAACGTTGACAGGGACCGGGAGAGTGAATATACGAACATTCGGTGGAAGTTGGTTCCCCATGGCCATACTGGCTAGTGAAGAGTTACTAATGACAAAGCCCTTGTGAGGATATACATGCAAAATCATTCTGTATACTTCCTTGTTCTATTATAAGCACAGTAGTGCAAGACTGGACTACATTAGAAAAGTAATTTATGTCTTCATCATCCTCTGAATTAAATTTAGTCGACTGAATTTTTGAAAGAACATCAGCTGTTGGCATTGAACAGGCATATAACGAGCCTGAAACTAGTACCGGGATCTCAATGGTGAGAAACTGCATAATAAAAGGACGAAACTCACCCTGGCTTTATTCACATTCACATATATTTATTTTTCAAAGTGAGGTGTTCGTCTTAGCTTCATGGTTTGTTGTTAAGCCAGTAGTTGAAACACATATATGGTTCATTTGTTATCTCATGAGACCTAGTAATATATAGATTTAGCCAAGCCCCAAATCGGGGCTCCTGGGTCGGGTTGTTCAAAGCCCGATTAAACTAACCGAAGATAAGAGAGAATTTTGATTTCAGTTTTGTAACTTTCGCAGAGGTTTACTGTTTTAATAATACACATGAAAAAATTACTCGATTCTGATTGGCTAAGAGCAGTGCAGTTCAAGTGTAANTAATTAAAAGATGTATTAAGGAACAGTTGTAGAAAATATTCCTTTTTATAACTATTGTAGACTTGGAAAATCCATGATAGCACTGGATCGATGGTAGCTCCGCCGCGCTGACTGCATTTATTTACACCCCCCTCCCAAGGTATAACACGTTTGGCCCATAGTTAATGTTCAATTATATTCAGCTACAAATGCTTATAGAATGCAATAAAATGTGGAGACATAATTATACTTTTAATAATACACATGAAATAATTACTCGATTCTGATTGGTTAAGAGCAGTGCAGTTCAAGTGTAACACCAGTACAAAAAGTGTAACATCAGTGCAAAAAGTGTAACATCAGTGCAAAAAGTGTAACACCAGTGCAAATTACACATCAAAATTCTGGATTATGATTGACTGAAAGATAATAGGAATTTTTCTAAGAAAATGATATCGGGTAAAATGATGACAAAAATTTTGTGTTGAAACTTTGAAAAAAGTTTTCTCAAATGAGAAAAAATGGTTCCAAGAAAGATCTTCCGGCACTTCCTCCGCGCGAATTTTTTCATCTTTACATTATTAATAAGTAACCATACGGTTTTTCTCGTTCAATTTGGAGTTAATTTGCACTTGTCAGTTTTTCAAAAAGCTGAAATTACACTCGCCGAAGCGGCTCGTGCAATTTCAGCTTTTTGAAAAACTCACTTGTGCAAATTAATTCCAAATTGAACTCGAAACCGTATGACTACCTATACTAAGAGTCTACATAATGTGTTTAAGAAAATTTTGTGTAATTCGCGGGCCTGCAAATTTTGGTCAGCGACATGTTCATTTATGCCATGTCTGAGAACTCTGATGCTTGATGTATCCGCTATTTTGAAAAGGCCAACTTCGTCAAGGTAAGTGCTTAAACTACTAGATATCTATCGGTCACTTAATTATTCCACAAAATATGCATTTTATAAACATTTTAGTTTTGTGTACTCTTCATTTTGAATGAATCAGTTTCAAAAACTTCGTTTCGATTGCAAAATAGCATGACAAAGACGACAGAGCTGAGGCACAACATAAGATGTTCAGTAAAACATACGAGGAAAAACGGTCCATTTCTGTCGTGGCAATCAATAGCTGGAAACATGTTTAACCTTCTTCATAAAAACTCTAGTATTTTTTTAAAACTTGCTCTCCTTTATGCAAAAAACTCCACTTCTCGGGTTTTTTTCTGATAATTCACCTTTTATCTATTTGGAACGTAAATTGTACTTTGTATTATAAGAAAACAAATCAGCTCGCATTAAATCTTTTTTAAACTCTTTTAGAAATTAGCCTTTCAGTGCGATCTAAAGTTTGAAAATACTCGATCTATTACTGAGTGCTAATTTACTAGTGCATTTAGGCTATAACGTATATGAATCGTTGATATCATTTACGCTATTGTTTCAGAGTAAATAATAGATTTCACTTCCCGTCTCCATTTAGCCACACGTCTTCACAAACCTCGCCTGGGACAACATAGACAGAATTGAGGAAAGGAACATCCCACCGTGTCAACGGAATCGTTGTACAGCCTAGAGTCCTCGGTCCTGACCCACCGCCGAAAGACCTACCACGCATTGACAAAAGGAAAGAGAGGGCTTTGAGCACGGAACATCAACCCCAACTTCACGTATATGTCGCTGGCCCTCGTGTGGGACCACATCCTCTCGAAACCAAGGATGACTATGCTGGTGAAACCAACAAAGCTAAGAGAAATGCAGAGCAGAAAAACATGCTGCGGATCCTTGCTAGGTAAGTCAATTCAGAAGTCCAAAAGGTGCCTAGTTGGACCGGATTTAACATCCAAACAAGGGATCGAGTTCAAGTAAGACCACATGTCGAAGAGTATCTCCCGACAATAAGTGCTCCAGCAACAGCATTAACAAAAGTGTATGAGATCCTTAACCAGTCAGAGGAAATCAGGAAGAAACTTGATCTATCATCAGTTGGCGATGTCACGGATCAAGCACTTTACGCAAAAGCAGCGGAAATTGCATGGAAGCAAGACCAGTTTTCCAACATTGTTTTGCGAATTGAAACATTTCACACGATTTGCGTTGCATTGGCTATCCTGGGGAAACGATTTGGAAATAGCGGTTTGAAGGACATCTTCACTGAATAACAGATAGTTGCCGAGGGCTCCATAAGTGGTGTCATTGATGCAAAGCATTACAACCGTGGCCTGCGGGCACACAAGTACCTGTATGAAGTACTGATGAGGTTAGCCTAGGGTGAGTTCATGAGAAGGCTTGAGAGTAGCGATCCCAATCATCGCATCACAGTAGCGTCTTTTCTTGAACAGGTGGATACACTGGCTAATAATTTTTGAAGGAAGAGAGCTTAGACCAGCTGCTTCAATGCCCAGTCCTGCCTTGTATTTGGAAGCTTTCTTAAAGATATAGGCATTTCATTCCAAATTTTTCTTCCGATTCTAGAATGCCAGCGATTACAAAACATTGCTGAAGAAAAACATAGGGAAGGAGTACAAGAAGACCCCCGCTAACGCGGAAAAGCGTATTAACACCGAAGCGAAAGTTTTCGCCCAAAACCTGAAGCTAGATGAACAGGAGACAATTGCGTTCATTAGTGTGTCTGAACGGACTTTTCTGTGTGACGTAATCCTTATGTGTTAAATTTGATTTCGTACGTTTATCGCATATATTACTGCATAACTTAGCCTTGTTTTCGTTCACTTAAAAAAGTTAAATTCTAATCCTCGGCGTGTGCGGTACGGATCGGAACTTCTTGGACATTTTCGAACATCGAGGACACTTGGACTGTCAGGGCATCGTTTAAAAGCGTATCAAGAAATGGTCTATTGTTCCGGCTCAACATCACACGTTCAGCAAAAAAGAATAACCTTTTGTTCTTGGTAACCCTGAGGGACTTCGTCCGAAGCCAAACCAAAATCGTCGCCGTTGTTCGGAAA